TGAACTTGAACTTTCATCAGTGTTTATCAGAGATATCTAGCATAGATATTATTATACACACACAAAAAAGTTCAGTTTCATTTCATTATCTATGTCTTTTTTTATAGGAGCGAGTCACAAACGAGCATACAGTCCACCTGATGGTAAGTGGTTGCTGTGACCTATAGACATCTACATCTATCCTCATTTGCGAATCAAAATGCAGATGCATTGTCACTCATTAGGACTAAGATGGAATACCTCTTATCCAGTAAAATGGGTCTCTGGTTCTCTACACTCACCATACGAAACACAACAGTGTTAAGCTGCTATTTTACGCTGGTATTCTGTGAGAGCGTGGTCCTTCCCCGGTCGAGCCGACCCATTCGTGCTGCAACTATACTACTAATATAGCTGCAGCATGGCTCTACCACGTATAAAGTCTGAATATGTATTTGTGCATGATTATTGCTCTTGTATTGAAAAAATAATTCAGATTTTTCTATATAATGATAATAAAGTTTATTTCAGTTTTTTTTTTATCATTATCTATATCTATCGTATTCGAGACTTCGAGACTGGGTGTAAAAAGAAGTGACAACAAAAAAAGGAACACAGTGTAACGACTGAGGGAGAGTTCGAAAGTTTTGTAGAAAAGCGATAATAAACAATATCAACAAGAGAAAGCCTCTTTGTTTTATAGAATGGGGAGGTTGATTGTAGTCCTTTAGGTTTTATAACGATTTTTATATTAGATACTTTGAATACAATTGATGGCGGGAAAATGACATTTTTATTAGTTTATCCCACAGAGCGCTCTTACTCTCTACCTGTCCATATGACAGTACTAACACAACTTCCAAGCTTTACTTGGCTTGATTCGTACTAAAAAAAGGTCTTCCAATCATAAAATTGCTTCCTAAAAGTACCATAGAAAAAGACAAATACGGAAACTCACAAAATCTCACAATATTCCTTTAAAATTATTTAAATTAAGACTATTGTTTGAATTAGAGCTTAAAATCTTGTTTGTTCTTTTTAAAGTTGTCTACAAATGAAGTGGGTGATGGATAAGTAATTCTTTTTATTACTGCACGTGTCGGCGATATAAGATTATCTACGATCCTATATCGTCATGTGGTGGTTCTTATGACACCCATGGAACTTTAAGGGCATCGGATGGCAATACCTCTGTTGCCTGCAACAAACCAGGAGATGGATGATGGATGATATAATCCTGATAACTACTAGAAAATAAAAAAATTGCGATTAAAAAGTTAAAACCAATATGAGGTAATCTACGGTTAGCAGTGGACTTTGATATTTTGAATACGATTTGTTTATATTATTTAACACATTTAATTGTTATAACTAAATACCTTTGATTAAATATCGTTAAAATATTGATATTGATTATTAATAATATTTCGCTGAGAATTTAGCTTTTTTATAAAGTACCTATATCATAAAGTCTAAGAAATGTTATCTTTGTTATAGCTGTATCAGCCACGTGCGTTATATCTATGTTTGTTTCACACGTGGTTGAGACATCACATCTATTTTTGTAAGCGCTTTAATATACTTACGTAGGAATGGCAATAAAAAAACATGCTACCATTTGGATACTTTTTTATTTATTGACGTAACAAGTATAAAAACGATAGCAATTTTTGATGTTATTATTTATTACAGCCTCATATTGGTATTTGTTACTGTTACCACGCTTACTATAGGGGTAGTAAAACGCAGTTTTCTACCGACTTCAAAAAGGAGACGGTACTCAATTCGACTGTATGTTTTTCTTTTTTATGTGTGGTTACCTCATAACTTTCTACTGGTAAATCGATTTCAATGATTCTTTTTTTATTTGAAAGCTGGTGCTTCACATGTGGTCCCATATGAACTTGATGAAGGTCTGACCAATAGTTTTTGAGTTATTCTTAATAATTTGTATTGAAGTCGATTGTACAACATTTTAATTTTAAATTATTATCATTGAGTTATTAACAGGAATATGTTGCTACTCATATCCTATTTCGGTATCCCTCTGTCGCCTCTTACGACACCCACGGGATGATATTAGGTAGTAGATTCCGCTACGTTGGCACTACGCAAGGTTGTTGTTAATATTTGTTTACAAACAGTACAATCAAGTAATTACATAATTTAAAATTAAAAAAAATTGTACTTACCGACTTCAATATAAGTTATTGAGAATAACTTAAAAACTATTGGTCTGACCTTGATCAAATTCATATGGCACCACACGAGAAGTACCAGCTTTCAAATAAAAAAAGAATTATCGAAATCGGTTCACCCAGTAAAAAGTTATGAGGTAGCACACATAAAAAAAACATACAGTCGAATTGAGTACCGTCTCCTTTTTGGAAGTCGGCAGAAAATACTGATAGTTAGAAATATAAAAACGTAAAAAACTGAGCTTCTAGTAGGGAACTAAAGAAAACTTGAACTAAAAGTCACTTTATACCTACTATATTTTCATATTAACGTTAATGTAATCTGTTAAATGTTTCTGGCATTGTTAACAACTCTATTTTAGATAGCGTTAAGGAGCATAGCCCCTAATAAAGGCAATGTGCGTTAATTCATAATATCATCAAAATAAAATCAAACAGGAAAAGAATGTTAGAAAATATATTTTGTTTAATCATAACCTTGTAATTGTAATGATTATTAAAACTTAAACGTTGTTTACAATTCAGTAAGTCAAAAGATGATAAAGGTAGTTTTGTTATTTTGTTGCTTTGAATCTGTGGAGTTATAGTTGTTAAAGAATGATGGGGACATTTTAACACATGAAGGTCATAAAAATATTTTACGATAAGGATGAGTAAATTTGTTAGGTATATATTATTTATTATCTTATGTTTTTCCTAATAACCCGATTTGAATATTCGGTGGGTTTTTGGTGGGTTTTTAGTATAATATCTTGACCAATATAAAGAAATTATTTTAATATTATTCAATTTTCAAATAAGTGAGTTATGTACAACAATATTGATCGAAACGCCGAGTAGGTAGTGTCGGTCTCGGGTTAACGCACTAAGAGTTCTCTCCAATGTAGATAATATTATGTCGTCTGACGACAGAGTAGGTACCCATATAAATTATATGGCAGTGCGTATTGTATTCGTCTCGCTCTTTTCTGAATTCTGCTTGATTAATTGCTGTAGTAGCTCAGATGGTTAGCGTTCGCTGTAAGTTTCACAGTACGCGAGCAACCCGGGTTCGATCTCCGCCGGCACCAATGAAATTGTAAATTGCAGTTTTAAGTGCTGATTTACCACATGCTCGGCGGTGAAGGAAAATATTGTGAGGAAACCATGTGAAGTTCACCAATACACATTGGGGCAGCGCGGCGAACACTTCCTTGCCTTAAAAACTCTCAGAAATTAAAGGAGGTCTGTGCCCAGCAGTGGGACGTATATAGGCTGCAACTTTAACTTTAATTTATATATAATAGTTATTTTAATTACACACATGTAATATATTTATTTATTACATATTATATAGAAAATATGGTTTATATATTACATTGATTAACATAAAAACAAATAATATGATGTAGGTAGGTATTATAGTTGTGAAGGTGTCAGCGTTAGTCTAAGTATTCAAGAACAAGGTATCCAAAATTAATTTGACAATTTTTTTTATAGAATAAGGGAAACAAACGAGTACACAGTCCACTTTATGGTAAGTGGTTGCTGTGGGCCATAGATATCTACATCTATCCTCGATTACGAATCAAAATGCAGATGCGTTGTCACCCGTGAGGACTAATATGTAATGCCTCGTTTCCAGTAAAAAAGGTCTCCGCTTCTCTACACGCACCATACGAAATACAGCAGTGATAAGCTGTTATTTTACGCTGGTATTCTGTGAGAGCGTGGTCCTTCCCCGGGCGAGCAGACCCACTCGTGATACAACTATACCAGTAATATAGCTGCAGCTTGGTTCTACCACCTAAAAACGATCTTACACGATTCAAAATATTACAAAACTATTTCAAACTCTACATGTTTCTAATAAATGTTAATTTATATAATAGATAGCTTGGTCAGTTCATGTTAATTAAGTATTGGTAGTGCACATAATTTTTTTTTATGAACACTTGTAAACGTCACAGAATCGAACGCTACTTACCTATAAATAATAAATTAACATACAAAAGTTGTCTACTTACTCATAAGGTAAAGATTTAAAAAGTATGCGTTCGTGTAACAATTTTAATTGCCTTTAAATACTCACAGCTCTTACAGTGCCTACGAGTTCATTTTGCGACTCTATGTTTTTCTAATAATAATATTTTTTACCGTTACAGTTACAGTCTACTAAAGTCCACTGCTGAATATAGGCCTCTCCAATAGATTGCCTCATAGAGGGGACATTTGCCATAGCTGCCACGCTTAGCAAGCGGGTTGGCGGTAAAATATTTTAACTGATTTAAATAAAACCCCTACGAATTAGTAATTCATTATTTTCTCTCCGTTCAGATATGGTTGTTAGTAGACGTCACATTTTTTATTACTTTGGATAACAAACTACAATAATAGTATTCGATTTTACTTTCATTCATTAAATTTCTATTCATACAGTTGTAGAAAAACAGTCAAAGAAACGTTCCAATCATTTTAGAATAAAAAATCTTACTTTTTCGATTTTCATTGAAATAATATAATGAAAACCATTTTATTATGCTTTTAGTGATAAAAATGATTCTTTTTGCGGATAGGCATACCATCTTTGACACACACACAATGTGCTTAAACGAAGTATAATATAGAAACTGAATGAAGAAAAAGTAAAAAGTGTAGTGTTTGCGTAAATATAAGAAATCATTATGCGAATGAAAGCCACTTCACATCGTTTGTGGTAGGTCAGTGCGTAACCGTAAATACCAAATGGAGCAACAACTTAAGGTAAAGCTAAGGTTTATGTCAATTTTAAACAAAGAAATATATTACTCTTATATTTTACACAAATAAAGACAGGATACGCACCTTTTGTAATTTTCCTCGTTCGCTTCTCACACATATTCCTTGAATAACACAGTTTGCTGATAACACAAACACTTAGAAGCAACTTAAGTTGTTATTGTGAACTCGATAATAATACGTAGACGCGTGCGTTCAACTCGAGCTCTGAGCGGGGAATTAGTTTAGTACCCAGGCTGCGCGTTGGAAAATGAAAATCGAAGCCGCCGGGCGACTCGTTTCATTGACGCTGCGCCGTAGACGGAGATGCAAAGTTGTGTTGTAATACCGTAATTTATATTACCCCATAAGTATCTATAATTTACAAATTATTGAAAATTAATTAGCCTAAAGTTCTATTGAAGAAAAGCTTCTAAAATTCTAGAACATGACACACAGCTAACTTTAGATTTTCTAGTTTAGTGTTGTCCAAATCTTTATTAATGCAGGAACGTGGACGTTTTCAAGTTTCAATTCATAAACATTTATATTAGTCTAGACTCTAGAATCTCAAATACCCTAAAAGTCGAGGATTTAACTTATTTGTTTTAAATATTGTTTTCTTTTTTTTTGCGCTGTAAACATTTTTGTAATACTGAATTTATTACGAAACCGTAAATTCAGCTGTCTGTTTTCAAATTGAGTACTTAATGGTTAATACAAACGGTTAATTTTGCTAGTGCAAATGATATTTCATAATGAATTTATGCATTGAAACCACCCGATTCCGTGCTTTATATTATTCTAAATTTACCGATACGTGATTAATATGGTTGTTAAAACGAACAAACATCAAAGTACTAAATCGACCATATAACATGTGATCAAATGTGATAACTTAAAATGTAATAAACGATATCTCTGGTATTATACATTTTGCGACGACATTTGCTGATACTTGCGATGACATTTACTGATCGACGGATTCAACTCGGCTGGGCAGCATTCGGGAAATTACGACACATGTTCTCGTTAGACATACCTCAAAACATGAAAACGAAATTGTACAACCAGTGCGTGTTGCCAGTGATGACTTACGAATCTGAGACATGGTCCTTCACTGCTGGCCGTATGAGGAGGCGCAAGGTCGCTCAGCGAGCTATGGAGTATGGAGAGGGCTATGCTCAGGGTTTCTCTGCGTGATAAACTTAGTAGAGTATATTAGATGAGTATATCCGCAGTAGAACCAGAGTAACCGACATAGCCTAACGGATTAGTTACCTGAAGTGGCAGTGGGCCGGCCATATAGCTCGAAGAACCGACAATCGATGGTGAAGAAATACTCTCGAGTGGCAGCCTCGTACCGGTAGGCGAAGTGTAGGGCGGCCCCCCCACTAGATGGAATGACGACCTGGTAAGACATGCAGGAAGTCAATGGATGCAGGTGGCTTAGGACCGTGCTTTGTGGCATTCCTTGAGAGAGGCATATGTTCAGCAGTGGACTTATGAAAGACTGTAATGATGATGTTGATGATGATTGCTGATACTTGAAATAAAAGATTTCCCTATTTTCTTGGAGAATAATATCGATTTAGATGGTAAGCTAACTTATTATAGATACGGTTCTGGTTTGATAAGTGCACCTCACATGGTCAAACACGTGTTGAAGTTGATAATAAAATTTCTAGACTCGGAAGGTAAAAGCACTTCAGTCAAATCTTTTTGCATGCAAACATTTTACAGGGGAGGGTTATATTCGATTGGTGTGAAAAAAATGTAGTACGGTTTTTATTTTTATTGTTTTTTATTACATAATCACGAACTAGTTACACGTTAAATTTAATATATTTCAAATTTATTTCTTATTATCTGAAATATCTGACTTAATTTTTTATGAGCGCAAAGAAATCGCAACTTAAGTGTTTATTACTGTACCATACAACTACGTAGCTCATTAATGTTTAAGAATATAAAAATGAACTATCAATAATATTTAATAATTATAATAATGCTTATTAGTTAAGCTTTAGTAATAAACTAAAAGCTACTTTCTTCAGAATTTGATATATCTGGATCAACGTCAGTTGTGTCTGCAGCAGTTACTAAATTCTGGTAAAAATTATGGAAAGATTCCGGTATTAAAGATAAAAGTGATATTATGTCACGTTTTTTTTCAATGCTTATTGGTACCGGCTTTGCAGTAATCTGCATCAAATTAAATTCCTTTTCCCGTCGCGTGTTCCATTTGAAATTAATGGTTTTGAAACATTCATCTCTTGACAGACATTTTTTTGTATTTTATGAGGCCGTATTTTGGTCGCCGTATTTAGATTAATTCTGGGCTCATATCTGTCGACCACACACATTATCATTAAGTTAAAAAAATATTAGAATGTTCAAAAAAACTCGAAAAAAAAACATTTTTCGAAAACTAGCAGACTACATTGTGGACAGCAAATGTTTTGACATGCGAGTAATTTAATCTTATTTTCTACCGACTTCAAACAGGAGAAGGTAATAAATTCGACTCTGTTTTTTATGTGTGTTATTTACCCCATAACTTCTTTCTGAGTGAACCGATTTCGATGATTCCTTTTTTATTTGAAAGCTGGTGCTTAACATATAAATTTGATCAAGATCTGACCAATAGTTTTTGAGTCATTCTTAATAATTTATATTGAAATCGAATGTACATAAGTTTTAATTTCAAAACAAGTGATAACAGTACAATGAAAGAAATTAAAAAGTTTATATCATGTGGACACATTATTTTACACCTCGAAAAGATCTCTTAACTAAATGTGGTTATTTTAAGCATTTCACCCTAATTTTTCGTAAAGATCTTCGTCTCCTTCATCAGTTATCGAACTCTTCCTCTGTAAGGAGTATTTGTCTACACTACACGTGTAAAATTTAGTCTTAATTTTTAACTCTAGTATCGTCGATGTGTATGGGGAATTAAGTAACAAATTGATATAATTATTCAATAATTTTATGATTATTGCAATTTATTGTCCACTAGCTGTGCCTGTGGCATGACCTAGTTCAAGCATTTAATAACGGCTAGGGTTTAAGAGTCGTTCGCGCGCCCAGCCAAGTATTGAATTATTTTAATTTTACATTATCTCTTAAACTATGCGTCCACATAACATGGTATAAAGAACAAAGTTTATATTCATAAAATTGTCTTAATGGTGAGGTAACTTTCGTTCTTAAGGATAAATAGGCCATGCCTAATAATAACGCTCATAAATCACTTTTAAATTTTCAATATTTTTTTGTCACAAAATACCAAATTATGGCTTATGTATAAGAACTAGACATATGGTATCGCGGACTTTTTTAGACGGAGTAAAGGTCTATATTTTTTTAAAACATTGTATTTACGTATCCCTAACGATAACACCAGCGTACGCGGATAAATCATTTCGGTAGTGCTTTTTCTTCTGACTTGCTTAAGAAATATCCATATTTAAGGCTAGCTGAGTAATATAGCTTAATGTTAGATAGCCTATACTATTTCACGTGAATCTGGCTATAATATACAAAAAGAATTTTTCAAATCGGACAGGTAGTTCCAGAGATTAGCGCGTTTAAACAAACAAAAAAACAAAAAAGCTCTTCCGCTTTATTATATTATTAGTATAGATTATGAGGTAAATGAAAAGGCCTAAAATATGTTAATTTGCAGGCGTTACTATGTTACGTAGAATTTCAACCGACTTCAAAAAAGGAGGAGGTTTGTTATCTCTCTCCCTTTCTCTCATTACGTTAGGCGATATCTCTGCCAATTGAGCGTCTATTTTAATGATTAGTTTCTTATTGAATGGATTACCTCATAGGTGGTCCCATATAAAATTTGAATTCTACTCCTACTATATACAGACGACTACTTGACGACCTTGTTGGTCTAGCGATGGTTAGCCTGACTGTTATTCATAAGGTTCTGGGGTTGAATCCCTGGTCGAGCCAAAATAATTTATTAGGTTTTCTGTCAAGAAATTTTTAGTTGCAGCCTGGAGTCAGAAAGTTGGCGGTGTTTAACATTTGTGTTTTGTAAAGCAATAAAGCCGAAGGTTCTCCGCCTGATCTCTCCAAGGATCTTCCATCGGACTAATAAAGTGGGAAGGAAATACAGAGTGCATCAGTGCTTGAGTACACATTCGTACACGTACTGTTCTGCGCAGATGTCTAGTCTCCGTTGAGACTTGGCGCTCAGACCAAAATTTTATCAAAGATATATAGCTATAGAATGTTGTAGTCGTCTTACTGCCCGTGTAGTGGCGGGTAAGAATACTGACTATCCCATATCTTCCCGAGGGTGTCGTAAGAGGCGACAGCAAAACAACAATAAAAAAACTGCGGTTGCCAACCCGCTCGCCAAGCGTGGCAACTATGGCAATATACCCCCCATGATAAAAGCTACGAAGAGACGGCCGCCTGTCCTAGTTACGATGGCGCTGAAATATTATAGCATTATCCGAAGTCCGAAGAGAGGAGGAGGATGTGGTAATCCTCGAATCCGGCAAATTGTTCTATCACCGGGAGGGCGACCATCTGTCCCGACGAGGTGTCGGATTTATCGTCCACAAGTCTCTCATTAACAACGTTGTAAAGATTGAGAGTGTGTCGACGAGGGTTGCGTACCTTATACTCGGAATCACCAAACGGTATTCGTTGAAGGTCATGCAGGCTTACGCAGAAACCTCGGCACATCCCAATGAGGAGGTGGAGGAAATGTATGAGGATATATATAGCCACGCATTCCTACAAAACCCACTATACGGTGTGAGAGACTTCAACGCAAAACTAGGCATAAGAGAGAATATGAGCTGAAAGTAGAGCAATTTGGAATAGGGCAACGTAACCCAAGGGGCCGGTAGCTGACCGACTTCATTGAGAAAGAGGTAATCTTTATGATGAACTCTTTCTTCCAGAAGCGGCCCCACAGGAAGTGGACCTAGTCGAGCCACGACGGTCCGACAAAAAATTTGATTTGAGATTGACTTCATTATGATGACCAGACCACTATTGTTCAGTGATGTCTCGGTGATCGCGAGGTTGAAAACTGGTAGCGATCATCGAATGGTTAGAAGCACACTGAACCTAAACGTTAAGTTG